TCTGAGAACTTGTCGGACCACCTTGCAGGAGACACTGGGGCTGAGACGGTGATGGTCAGTGACGGGCAGGACCACACCCTGACCAGGACTCTTAGCTCTGCACTCCTCCTGCCCTCTGTTTAAGCCTGAGCCTCATGTCCGGACCCTGAAGATAGACTTGGGAGTCACTGGTGAACTCTTTGTCCCTCTTCCCAGTGTGGCTGCACTGAATGACTCTCCTCTGATTTACACTGTTACTTAGCTGTTTAATTGATCTACTGATGGTGGTTGGCCCAGGCTGGCTAGGGCTACCTGGGCCCAGGCTGACTCTGACAGCTGCTGGAAAAGTAGATGTTTAATGTTCAGTAACGACAGGAGGGGCCTTGCAGGGGCTAGGAGAGCATTTGAACATCAAGGTATGAACAGAGAGCCCTTACTTGTATGTCAGAGGCAGTCAGGCAGACAAGCAGGCCCGAGAGCTGTCATCTACCTCAGCCTGTGTGATCTCCGACAAACCACTTAACCTTTCTGTGCTTCAGAACCCGCATTAGAGAATATACCCCCAGATGTCTGCAGGCACAGGGCAGCCTGCCAACCTTGTTTAGCATACAGATTTAGGGTCCTGGGTGACAACTCAGTAGGTCAGACATGGTATCCCTCTAAACTGCACAGTAGCCCTAGAGATTGCACTTTGGCAAGCTCCCTGAAGGATTCTGAAATGGTAACCCTACCCTCATTGGGAGGAAAGTGGGCAAATGGCCCCTATCCCCAGAGAACAGGCATGAGTGTCCTTTCTAGTCATGTTCGCTGGGGTGGCACCAAAACATGGAGGTGAGTGCACACACACACATGCACACACATGTATGCACACACATGCGCGCGAATACACACATGCATGTGCACACAACACACATACATGCACACAAACTCAAGCACACATGCATGTGTGGGCACACACATACACATGTACATATACACACACACACACACACACACACACACACACACACACACACACACA